GAGACTGTGCTAATGACTAGAGTCCCCCTCCCCAGGGACCAGACTGTGCCCCTTCACGGAAGTGTCTAGTTTTCACTTCTGGTGTTGTTCTCGGTATAAGTGCTCTATTCAAATAGTTTTTAAAAACGATGTGATTGCCTAGCGATCGTGCAATTACCTCTGCATTTTGACTCCAGAGCGCCTTGGCATTTTGATTAACTCCTTACTGTACATGCTGGGTCTCCTTCCAGAATGTGGGAAGAGCAGCTGAATTCTAGCACGTTTTCACGATTAAGCAATCAGGCAACACTACCTGCTACGATTAAGGTTAAGCAGATCCAACCCCAAACTCTCCCCAGTGATAAGATTCATCGTCAGTCATTAATCTCACAGTTTTAATTAACCTACTAAAACGAGTCATCAGAATTCATGTGTAGGAGGTAGAATTTATATACCATACATAACTGTATGCAAATGCATACACAAGAATTTATATTTTGAATTTATATATAAAGAATTTTTATATATTTATAAACTTACATAAAATTATGTATAAATGTATATATTTATAAGTGTTTATATGTGTATATATCCCTTAAGACTACAAGGATATTACTGGAATACAGAAACTCTCACTTGAACAACAATTAAATTTTAAATAAGAAATGAAAGAAATACTGGATATAAGCTTTAAAAAAAAACCTGTCCGAATCACATCATCAGACATATTTCCACTGCCCAGCGAAATTCCTTCGGGAGGAGAAGTACCTGCAGGCAAAACTAAGTGTGGCCCCCAGGGCGGCATAAAGGTGGGAGGACGGCCGAAACTCACAATTCAGATTTAAAGTTTAAAAATAAAATAAAAGCCTTAGCAATTCAAGAGAGCATTCCCACAGATCTGTGGTGTCCAGCCAAAAAAAGGACGACAAAGAAGAAAACAGGAAGGGGTGGTTCCTTGTACATGGAATAAAAAACATGTTGGTTTAAGTAAGTGTCAGCCATGCCTGGCTCCTGCAAACTTGACCCCTCGTTCTCTCCTTTGGGTCCACAAGCCTCTTCCGTTCCCTGGGAGCAGGTGCAAGCATGATTAACGGTGTTCGCAAATCATCTTTGGCCATCTCTACCAATTGTAACTCGTGTCTTTTCTTTTGTCAAAATGCTCCTGAAAAATGACCTTCTCCAAGGTGTCTCCATTATAATCCCATTTTCCAAATCTATCATTGTATCTTTTCTCCTTAATTAATAAACACAGAAAATTCTCAGTGATCTTCTGCAATGAACACAATCCATGGGATAAACCATTCAGAACGGTTTCTATCTGACTCAGAACTCCTTGTGACTTTGTGGACAATGGACTGAGATCCCTTCTTAATCAGAATAAATTTGAAATGACTTTGTAGCCCCTACTCATTAACTGATAAGTGAAGGACGGAGCTTGGCTTGTGGGAGTGGTAGTGGGGGAGGTAGAAATGTAGCCTGCTTATCAACGTTTGCCAAAAGTCACTGGTACTCAAAGAGGGAAAAGTATCCTGTTTTCTTTAGCTGCACTTCTAGAATAGAGTCTATCCTCAATTATCCACGTCAGTGGGAGAGGGCCGAGACACTAAACAACAGTAAACTCTCCCCAAATCCTTCTGACATGTTTTCCAATGTGCGGATGTCCTACCAAGCTAGCAATTCACATTAAACCCACGCCGAGAGGGACCGTGGACGTCAGGGAAAGTGATCGATGCCTCTGAGTGGTATTCTTTGCAACTTTCTTTGAAATCTTCCCAGAAATTTGCACTCAAAAGCCATCCTTGACAAAATTCATCTGTATCCAAATAGCCCACAAAAGTCAAATAACTTTTAGGAGTATAGACAGGGCCCGGCACCAATAACGCCCCTTTTTTGTAATTCTGTAACATAACCATATCACACTCAAGCACGCCATCTGACACTTGAGGTGCAATGTTCTAATTAAAACTATAAATTACTACACACCCATGTTATTCCCCTTCCAACCATACTCCAGCAGGCGTTGCTTCTGCCAGCCCCAGTATTTAGCTACTGTTGGTGAGCCTTAGAGCACTATTTCATTCGCATTGATCTTCCTGATACTTTTCTTTTTACTTTTCAACATGCTTGTCCTTTTTCCTGAGGACACACAGACTGTCTTGCCATTTGCTAATTACTTTTATTTTCCTTACTTAACAGATTATGCAAATATGAGTTAAGAGAAGCTGGGGAACTTGCCCACGGAGACCTCTGCCCCAGGTGGAGACCTCAGCCCCAGGTGGAGACCTCAGCCCCAGGTGGAGACCTCAGCCCCAGGTGGGGATCCGAAGCTCTGAACCTCACGCTGGCAAGTCTGGGGAAAACAAAAACATGACTTGTCCCTCAATTTCTCCCAGGAGTACAGTGACATCAGCTTTCACATGCATGAGGTAGGTTTCGTTGCCTCATCTCTGTGACATATTAATGCACCCTCACTGGGCCCCAGAACATTTAGCTTGTGGGTTTGGTGGCCTTCTGACTGGTTTTCATGCTGCCAGACCTTCAAGCCTGAGCTGATATTGGGTTGAGGCTGGAAAATTGTGGAGTAAACACACAAAGCAACTTTTTAGACCTCGGTAATCTTTTCCCCTCAGAAACAAAGAGATGTCCTGGCTGCTTCACTGAGACCTGAAGTTCTGTGGGCAGCTTTGGGGGAGATTACATCGCTGTCACAGTGGGCTGCCACCCAGACCTCCTGCTCTTTCATGCTTAACAAGTGCCCATGTTCTCTGTTTCACACCGATTCTTTTCTTAAAGAATTCTTTTTAAAAAAATTTTATTTATTTTTAGAGAGAGAGGAAGGGAAGGAGAAAGAGAGGGAAACATCAATGTGTGGTTGCCTCTCACACGCCCCCTACTGGGGATCTGGCCTGCAACCCAGGCATGTGCCCTGACTGGGAATCAAACTGGCAACCGTTTGGTTCTCAGGCCTGCACTCAATCCACTGAGCCACACCAGCCAGGGCCTGATATTCTTTTCTAATAGATTGCTTGCTTCTCCATGTATGTGAGTCTAAGGCAATGGTCACAGTCAGATCAACCTCTAAACAATGGGTTGGATAATCTGGTTCAAGAAGAACAAATCCAGTGGAGGTATTCGACTTGGATGGAAACTGAGTTTTCATAATTCATTCCGGTTCCTCAAATGAAAGTGAACTGGTGTCACTCCACAGGATCAGCTGAGACATCCAGGCTTAACCTGTTCTTCTGGGCTTAAGGCCTTTTTTTATCGCTGCATTATATTCTAATGATTAATTTCACGGCCTTTAGTGGTATTCTAGCTCACGAATCATGGGCACCGCTTTGAGGGAAAAGCAAGGTGCTGTGTATGATCAAAGGTGTTACTGATTAAAGTGTGTTGTGTATCTGGACTGCAAGAATGCAGGAAAAACTGGGACATCACTATTTCAGGCTATCAGGAATGTCAGGCACACTGGTGGAATATATACACTTGGAGGTTCAAGGTTACATGGAGGTGAGCGTTTCTGACATGGTCTGGGTTGAAACAACACCCATATGACATTAAACCAGCCACTTATGTTTTCCTGGCATCTTTTTCCTTGGTATTATGTGGTTCAGAACTGATTTCAAAGGCAAATGCAAGAAAGATGGAAGAAGAAATCAGTTCAGCAGATAACACACCATTCTGCCATTCAGAAGAAGCAAAGGCCACCTGCCTCCTGACACTCTGATTTCTGAAACCAGTAAGTAGTGCCTGGCTGCAGGCAGGACTTTGCCATTATTGACTTAGTAGGGAAAAGGAGGAGGGGGTGGCTTAGGTCAAACAAACAAGGACCAAAAAGACTATCATGCAAATCAAGTCTCTTTCACCCTTTGCAAGCACAGATTCATACTGGGTTAAAGACATCCTATCGATGCTCATGAAAAAGGAAAGTATCCAGAAGAGAAACTGCAAGTATATTCACTGGAGAGGCCCACAAAATATACTTGGGCTCTTGCTACTAAAATGGATTTTTCCAACTGATGTATGGAGTCTGGAAAAACACCCCTGCCACCCCCCAAGTGGAACACGGAGTTCTTTCAATCAACAGCAGAGGCAAAACGTGGCAGAAGCAGCTACTCTGCCAACAGGTGGTTTTAAACTTTTACTTAAGCCACTGAATGCAGGGAGAAGAGGAAAATGGCATTTGTAAAACACACACATGCACACACACTCGCATGCATGCATAGACACCTCTTATCAGAGGAGGAGACTCACATAAAGAGAAGCCCCCAACAGAACACTCAGCAGCCCTGTATCTTAGCTCAGAGAGGCGGACACGGGTTAGTCTGTCTAACGTCCCAATGTATAATTAAATCCTCGCTGCATACATCCAGGTCCAAGGAAAAATTCACACAGAAAACGGTCATTGCAGGTAGGACTGTATAAGCACTGAAAGAAAGGTGGCGTTTTTACAGGAACAGAGGGCAGGAGGAAATGAAAACCGTTGAAAGGGGAGAAAAACCACAGTTCCCTCGTGATTTTCATGTTCCCAATTGTTCCGTAAGCAATACTCTGGCTAGCGGGAACCGCAGTGAATCGCTGAGCACACAGCTGTCCTTTATCCACGCACCGCACGGGCAATTACTCAGGCTCCACACGCTGCAGGTGGGGGCAGCGGACAGGTGTCCCGAATGCAGGTGGGCGCGAAGGTGGGCGGGGGAGCGGGAGACGGGCGGGAAGCCTGCGCTGCTGCCCCGCAGAGTCCACCGGTCTGCAACTCCGCGCCCCTTCGGCCACGCCACTCAGGACAAGGCAGCTCTCCTGACCCGCCCCACCCCCACCCCGCCTGCAGTGAACCCCTTGTCTCACCCCAAGGTCACCCCTCTGCACTCGCGGGACTCCGCGGCCACCAAGCAGACCCCCGCGGGGGCAGGCTCCCGCGTCGCCCGCTCCTCCCGGGCGCTGCGGTGGGCCCTTGCCTCCCGGACCCCACCAGGGGGGGTCCCCCTCCGGACCCTCGGGAGGCCGGCGTGCAGCTGTACCTCGATGTCCGGCGCGTCCTTGCTGAGCACTGGAGCCATGGCAGTGGCTGAGGTCCGGTCCCCTGAAGACAGACCCTCGGTGAGACCCGGGACTCCGAAGTGACAGCTTGCAGAAGCGCGAGTGGAATGAGGAAACCCAAGACCCGAGGCGCGGGGGCGGGGCGACCTTGACGCCCACGGGCGGGGGCGGGGCGGGGGCGCGGGACACGCCCCCGAGCGGGGCGCACACTGGGGACACGCCCCTGGGCGGGACGAACGAATGCTTTCACCGCGCACTCCTGGGACACGCCCCGGAGGCGGGGCTTATAGCTCCGCCCCTTGACCCGGGTGCAGGCTCTGCGCCGGGATCGCGGCTCTCTGGGACCTTTCCCAGCCCCCTGGTCCCCAGACCCCGCCCAGCCGCTTGTTTTTATTCGGCGGGCGGAAGGAAGGGCGGGAGTGAGCATTTTCTCGGAAATGGCTCTGGACTCTGAGGCTGAGGTAGGTAGGCGGGACCAGACGTGCCAAGACCCGCGGGATTAAAGGTAAAAACAGGGGGCGCTGTAAATGACAAGCTGCGCCCTTCCTTTCCTTCTGCACGACCCCCGCGCGGTGCACAAACGTTGCATTGCAGGAACTCTTCAGGGAGGAGGTCCGAGGGGTTCCTTTATCAGTCCAGCAAAGAGGCGGGCAGAGCCCTGGAGCTCGTGGAGAAGGCCTGGGCGGGTGTTCTGGGAGATAACCACCCTGGAGACAGTCCCGGGGCGAGGCTGCCACGGGCGGGCCCCCGGGGAGCCACAAGCAACTATCGTGGCCAGAGGCCAGGTGGTAGTAAGTGCTGTATAGTAAGGCGCCACGAAATCAAGGTTGTATTTTTTTTTTTTTGCAAAGCAGTCCATTCTCGTGGCTGTTGGGGGGGAACATTATTCTATAATGTTAAGCTCTTTTGAAGAGTTGGGCTTTAGGTTGGGTTCTAGAACTTGCTTGGGATAGGGGAGCGGTGTCATTTAGAGGGGGCCTCAGTCCAGAAAACATTCACCTGGTTTTTGAGGACACCCATACTCCATACCTCTTTTCTCTCCTGCACTTAGACCTGGGCATCTTGGCCTCTGAATAACCTGCCACGCCCTCTCCTCCACTGTCCCCAAGGCCACTCCTGCCAAGGTTGATTACGTTCCACCCACGAAGTAATCAGCATTTCCATCCTCCAACTGCCCTTCTCCCTGGGCTTGTCCCCCACGTGCAGGACTCTATATGCGCTCATCCTTCAGTTCTCGGAGAAGCCTGACCATCACACCATCGCGAAGACCTACTTGTCTTAGCTACTCTTTTTCGAGTTCAAGGCCCTGTCGATTTGATTTGCATATTCATTTGAGGGAGACTTGTTTGATATTCTTCTTCCATGTAGAGCAGAAGCTCCAGGAAGAGAGAGGGCCCAGCCTGGCTTGGATGTCTGGCGGCTGTTCCACTCCTAGTCCGGGATTGAAACATGAGAGACCAAGAGTGCTTGGTGAGTGAATCAACACAGTGAATCAACACAGCGCCGGGGCTGTTCATTTTAGAAACTTCTGTTACTCTTTACCAAGTGCACCACAAAAATCTGTCAGTGTCTTTCTAGTTAACCTCGCATTGCCTGCAAAGTCATCTGTGTCCTTTTAGAGATCACATATATGTGTATATGCATGCGTGTGTGTATAAAAGTATATAACCTATATGCATATACATATATAATAGATATATAAAATTTTATTATATGTGTGTCCTCCAATTTAACCAGAGAGCTTCAGTGTTAATTTCCTAACCTCCAGGGATAGCGACTCAAGGGTTCTTGCAGACTACACTCTGCTACGAGTCTTATCAGTTAGCAACCCACACTTCCACTGTTTTGTTTATTTTATGGTTACAAGTGCCCAAGTCTGTCTAGCAAGAGTCAGTTTGCATCTGCATCCATGGTTTCTCTGATTGTTTTCTCCTAAACTTAGAGAGGGTCAGCCCCAAAGAGGCCGCCTTGACAGAGGTACCAGCTTCTTCAGCGACACTCAGTAATCAAACAGATTTCAAAGGCTGTTTTACCCTCCCCCCAACTTCACCAAACAGACGTACCCTGTTGTGAGATATTTAATTAAGGCATCTAATCAGGTTGCTCACATGCCACACCTACACTGTGTGATCAGTGACTGAATCCAATAATGTTTTAAATCCGCTGAAATTCCACATGAATCACAGTTGTACCTGTGAAGGATCCAAGCTGTTTAAAGCTTGCTGCAATTGCATCCACACCGCACTTCTAAAAGTTGTAAATTACGATGGCATTTTTCAAGCTGTCCCTCCATCTGGAGGCACAGTCACATATCAGGTGTTCCACATTAATTTTTTTTTTTGCAGGCTTTGGAGAGACAGCTCATTTCATAGGGTACAAATTACCCAACTGCATTTCCGCTGAATACTTTACATTACACAAATTATTATTGATCATTATTATTAGTTTTTATTACCATAGTTAGAAGGAAGGCTTATAAGGCAGCCTTCATTCCTAAAAAGGTATTCAGACCACAAATTTAGAAACAATCAAAATTCAGATTTCCGTATGTTTTTATTGCCCTCCTGTAGGCTAACATGAAGCAATATTTTTGAGACACTGCTTGAAAGATGACTTTACTCCAGAATGTCAGAAACTTTTATTGATTGTGTTACTTATTTTTTTAATCTGATATCTTAAGGCCAGATTGACTCATCTCCAAATAGATGAAGATAATAATTACTAAAAATCAGCTGGGTCCAAGTATTTCTAGTATCCCTACTCAGAAATGTCATTCTGTATATGTTAGTCCTATCGTATGGGTAAACTTGGTATAATTGATTCAACTGCATATACCACGTGTCTTGCATAAGCCTGCCCCCCACGTATGTGGTTGTGACATACATGTATATACATTATGTAACGACAGAAAAAAACACAGGTAAGTAAGACAAGACGGAGAAAGTACGAATCCCTACCAGAAATTTAGTCAGCCATTATTTGTAGGATGCTGTGGTTTCAGGCACTGGGTCAGGCTTTAGCGCTGCCTCGTGTGTCCTAACAACGTCACTCTTGTGTCACGAACATTGAGCCCCTGTCTCAAATACATACACGGTCACAGCATGATTTTAACCAACTGGTTTCACTGAGTGGGGTTATTTTGGTAGTTAAATGACAAGAGGGATGTGATAGTGTTTTGTAAGTTGTAAGATGTCGTGTATGATTAGTTAAATATTAAAAACTTAAAGATACACCTGGCCGGTGTAGCTGAGTGGATTGAGCTCAGGCCTGCAAACCAAAGGATCACGGTTTGATTCCCAGTCAGGACACATGTCTGGGTTGCAGGCCAGTTCCCAGCAGGGGGCACACGAGAGGCAACCATACATTGATATTTCTCTCTCTCTCCTTCCCTTCCCCTCTAAAGAGAAATAAATAAAATCTTTAAAAAAATTTAAAGATGTGTTCTCCAGCGCTCATATGTGGAAAACCACTGTTGATGTATGATTAACACATACAGTGTGGGGAGGAGGTTTATAGATTTATCTGAGTTATGAAGGTGAACATTCCTGAAGCAATCGCACAGAAGTGGCATATTTACTGTGAATGACAAGATCGAGGAGGAATGGAGACCTGTTAGAGCAAGGGGCCTGGGCTGCTGCTGAGACCTGAAGGGCAACAGGAGAGGGGAAGGGGGAAGGGGAAAGAGAGAGAGAGGCTCGACAAGGTGAATGACTTTTTATTTATTAAGGGATTAAGACAAAAACACAGACAGCAGCACAATGATTACTGGAGGGAAGGAAAGTAGGGGAGATGGACGGAGACTGGACTTGGGGTGGCGAGCACACAACACAACGTGTGGGAGATGTAGTCAGCCCGCCAAAGAGTCCGTTTGTCTTTTTTCCTGTAAGATGGCTGTAGGAGGGCTTAGCGGTCTCCAACTTCATGTGGAACAATTTTGTTAGATTGTACTATGACAGCTGTCATATCAACGTGCATTTAAAAATATCAAAATTGGAGAATTTTTCTGTAGTCATTTTTATATTGAAGGCGGAAGAAAAATGCACACAATTTCAGTATCTTATGCTTCATTATTTCAAGAAAGATAAAAACACAACTGAAACGCAAAAAAAAAAAAATTTGTGCAGTGTGTGGAGAAGGTGCTGTGACTGATCAAACGGTTCAGAAGTGGTTTGTGAGGTTTTGTCCTGGAGATTTGTCAATGGACGATGCTCCATGGTCTGGTAGGCCAGCTGATGTTGGTAGCAAGACATTAGTGAGAACAGTAAAGACATTGAGAACAATCAATGTTCTACCACGTGGAAGACAGCCAACGTACTCACAATAAAGTTACTGGCAAAAATGAAAAATGTGCCTTTTGTTCTATGGGAAAAAACTTTGGCCAACCCCATATAATAGAACTGTACTCCTGAAACCTATATTATCTTATTAACCGATGCCATCCTCAATGAACTCAACAAGAAGGAAAAGAAGAGGAGGGGGGAGGGGAAGGGGGAGAAGGGGAAAATCAAAAGCATTCCAGGCAAGTAACCTGCACACAGGCTCTGGGGCCAGAGGCACGGGGTAGAGGGAAGAAAGCTGTGACCGCTGGAGCTCGGGCAGCTGGCAGAGCAACTGGAGGGAGACTGCAGGGGTCAGCATTCCATGCGGGGTTTTAGTCTTCATTGAGGAAATTGAAGTTCACCTGTAAGACATGGGAAGCCAGGGGCCCTCTTTAAAGCAGAGCAGTGACGTGACGCAGCGTGAAGTTTGCAGTGTTACTGCCGTTGCAGTGTTTGTGTAATTGCACACTCGAGCACTCTCCTGTGTGAACATCAACACAGGCAAATCCGTTTCGGGCTTGGGCTCAGTCCTCTCCTCCAGATGTGAGCCTGGGTGGCCATTGCCACTGTCACGAGAATCCAGAAAATGCTCGTGAAGCAGAGTTCTGTGCTTTTTAAATCAAAATCTGGAAAAAAAACCTACACCCCAGAAGGATTTCTGTCTCTCAATTCATGGCTGTCTTTCTGTTTGCCAATATAAAACTTGAATGATCCATTTTCAATCATCTGACTAATGAGTGACACTCTGTTTTTGCTGTATTGTGTGTTTCCCCAACTGCCCCTTCCCCTAGACTGTGAATCCTGGGCCGGTTTGAGGGGGTCTTGTCCTTTTATCCTCCTGCCTGACACAGTGCCGAGTAGTAGTAGGTGCATCAATATTTATGAAAAAGTATTCATCATGGCTGTCTCTAAACATGACAAGGGTTTGGAGCCTAAGGGGAAGGATTTTTAGTAAATATGTGAGTAAAGGGCATTAATGGGCAGTTTTTTCACACAAAAAGAAATACAAACGATTGATAAGGAAGCAAAATTGTATCAATGCAACTTATAATTAAAATACCAATTAAATAATTATGAAATATTTTCATCAAGCAGGCTGGTAAAACAATGTTGAAGTAATGATTAAGAAAAAGGAAAATTAACAAATTCATTAGATTTCGTTACGGGTAAGAAAAACTCAGTACCAGTATGTAGGTGGGATAGATTAGCAATACACAGTCAAACTTTATAAATGTGCATTTTCTTTGACCCAACAACTTCATCTCTGATAGTTTCATCTTAAGAAAACAATTACACGTGTGCAAAGCTTACCTAAAAATATGGTTCATTCCAGAGCTGCTTATGCAATAATAACAGTAACAATACCAATGGCATACAGCAGATGACTGATCAATACATGAATGATACAATTCAATGTTACAGTCTTTAGAAAGGAGGTTGTAGAATATTAACAGGAAAAAATATTGAAAATATGCAGCAGAATATACAGTAGTTCCCCTTTAGTGATCATTTTACGTCTCAGTTACCTGGGGTCAGCCATAGTCTGAAAACACTAAATGGAATATTCCAGAAGTAAACAGTCCAGACGTTTTAAATTGTGCCGTTCTGCGCAGTGTGATGAAGTCTCGCAAGTCCCACTCCTTCTGCGGGAACGTGATTCGACCCTCAGGCTGTGCCCTGCGCTGTAGACTCTGCTCCCCTGTGAGTCCCTTAGCAGCCGTCTGGCCGATGGGACCCACTGTCCTGGCGTCGCAGAGCCCATGTTCAGGGGGCCCTGGTCTTGCTGAATGGCGGCCCCACAGCGGGTGCCGTGACACTGGTGTCCCCTATTTGCCGGGAAGCTGCGAAGCGCTTCCTTGGAGTGAGCAGGTGAGCTCGGGGAGGGAGACCCAGTCCGCTGACCTGACCTTCATTACGGTACATTGTTACACTGGTTCTGTTTTAGTATTGTTATTGCTAATCTCTCACTGTGCCTAAATTATAAATTAAACTTTATCATAGGTATGCATGTACAGGAACAAAACATAGTATCTACAGTGTTTGGTGCTACCTGTGGTTACAGGCCCCCACTGGGGGGTCTTGACCCCGTCCCCTGAGGATGAGAGGGGAACTGTGTGTCAAAGAACATAGGAGATGATGGAGTCCAAATAC